AGTTGCTAGTATTGCAGAGAACATATATCTACAATTGAGCACAAGTAATCACAAGCAACAAGTTGAATCTCCTCTTATTGAGCGCCAGTATAACCATGCTTGAATGAGCACAGTTGTAAGGACCATATTTATTGTTATGATACACGACGTAGATGAATATTGTCATTGAATCTCATTCGTGCCGGGTTCTCGAGTTCCGGTGCATATGTGGATTGGCAACATGCACTTTCAAGGTTATACTCTGGCTAAACCCATTTACCTTTGAGTCGCAATGCGATGAGGTTAATAAGGGACGAAACCGCCGTGTTCTCATTTCGCTTATTGAAGTTTCGAACTGTTTGACAGTGAATCACCTACTCAGTACCATAACCGATCAGTTGCTCTGAAATGTGCAGCACAAAGTGAGGATTGTGATCTGTTTGGAGAAAAGTTGCTTGTGTGCGTATCATCCGCTGGATAGGAGCACTTCAGATGTTTCAGTGGAGAGTTTTCTGAGCAATAGGGATTTCGTTGAATCCTTTGATACCTGTGTGGTCTACATCTTGTGCACCCAATAATACGGACGATTAGTGTTTTGCCCTGAATGTTGTGGGCGTCTTTGTCTGCTCCACGGTCGAGTATATCTATATTGCCCAATGTGGTGAACTGACGTGTAGCATTGACACACGGGGCTTTTGTACATATTACAGTTCGCTTGGTGTGGTCACTCCTAATCATGCTCCACTGTCAGATTTGACAGATTACAGGATAAGGTGCTCTTTTGTTGTTGGGAAATCCTCATTGTTTGGAATAAAATGTGTTGTTTCTGTGAATCATTTGCTTGCAGATGGACCGCGTGTATGAGCGTGTGATGGGGGAAGCACTGGGTAAGCGATTCGAAGCGACCGTGCTCGATTCCGATCCAATCGGTGCTCGAGTGCAACTTAGTGCTCAGTTGGACAATGGGGAATTGTTTTGGTCCAAGCGGACTGAAATACGGAACGCGGTTCTGCAAATTGGATTGGAGATATCGGGTGAGTTGATGGTTTGATCGGAGGGACAATGTTTCGTGCAGTATTGAGGATGACTATTCCTTCAGCGTAGCGTAGCTGCAGTCCGATATTGTAACATTGCCGAGAGCTACCGTCATCTTTCTTCTCATTCCCTACTTATACTTCTTTTCATGGAAGTATGCAGTGGTTGCTTGTGCAATTCTTTCTTCTTTCGAATCTTTATTTGTGTCAACCCTATCTCGGGCGACGTTTGGTTATTTCGGCAGTTGCGTTCTGCGATCAGCTAACGCCGGGAGAGTAATCATGCGTCAGTCTTGTAACTTGCCGAGCCACCAAGATTCACGGGAAAGTAGTAACGGTGCCTCGTTCTGCAAATCGTAATATGTAGTGTGCATATCGGAGCAATCAGAATAACATGCAGTGGAACAGATGATCGAAGTCGTGCTGAACACCATTGTGTGACGGACAGACTGGGACCACTGGAGCAAATTAGGAGTCGTCACAGGACTATACCCGGGCGGATAATGAATCGATGGTAGGCAGGTAGGATACCAAACATTGTGGAGGGTTTGTGGAATAGCCGTGATAGGACTGGTCTTATCAGTCACACTCCTGCAGCTTATCTCATCAGTTACGTATCATTGCATATCTATCAATGGTCCCATTATCCACATCGTGTCATGGGGACCGTCGATTTCGGAATTGAAATCATGCTCTAAATGTTAGTATTTTTTGTACACACTGCACACTCATCCGCCATGAAATTTATTGATCGGCGCGGTGTTGATGTGGTTGATGCGACGCTCTGAGCAGCTTTTCGAATATTGAAGATCGGCTTCACAGAACCCGGATCGTTATGAATCGAACACAAT